GGGGTTTCCGCACGACGCGTGATTAAAGAAAGGCCAGCGTGATTCGTGACGCGTGAGGCGTGATTTGTCTTCTGAAATATAAGTAAACCTCAATATTTCCCCAAAACCTTGTAAAAAAGACGAGGAGTTAAATTTTTCCTTTTATACAAGTGACGTGTGAGGTTTTCTAAAAATTTGTGCGAGAAACGGGATTAGGACCCGTCTTTGCTACCCTCTACGGTGAACACTGAACTCCTTCCCATGCCCCCATAGGACACTCGTACTTCTGGACTGTGCCTTTTTCACTTACCAACATTGATAGTCTTTAAGTCTACAAGGTATGCCATCTTTTTGTTGTTTTCAACACCTCTCTGTTTTCTTTCATTCAGGCGGACGCTGAAAAGGTAATGAAAACCAAAATCACTAAGAGCAAATTCTCAAAACAAACATATAAAGAGGGAGAAGATTTACAGAAGGAGCCACAACTCTACCTGATTAAATGAGGGTTCATGAATTCAGTTCTCACTGTTCCAAGTATTTCATTGTTTCCATATTCAACCAAAGAAAGCTCACCAGCATTGAACACCATACAGACCTGAAAACACAAATAAATAGTAAACAGAACAGCTCAAGTATACTTTTCAATTAACTTACAAGTTACATTTAATTAAAACTGTTTTTTTTCTAGTGAAAGAGTTGCAGGAACCCCCTGTGAACCTGTGAATATTGAAAATCAGAGTACAGTTGTAATAACTGGAATCATAAGGCTTGAGGAATGAAACTTGGAAAATCAGGACATTCTCCGTTCCTTCCCCTTTTTTTCTTTGACTTTTCACCACCTTTGCTCTTATAAAATGTAAACTTCTTTAGAATCACGCAGAGGAGCTGATGAACCAACCAATCACTATTCTAGTTCCAGGGCTTTCCATGAACAGGCTGATACCATCCATCAACTGAACCAAATTTTAAGTAACAATACCATTTGATATTTATTCTGCTTAAATTCTATTGAATGTCTTTTGTCCACACTACATCAATCTGGCCTTCTGATTATCATGCCAAATTTTCCTCCATCTTTGGTAAAAACCAGATATACCCAATACAATTTTAATTCTGTATTATGTTGACAAGGATAAACTTCTATGAACCAGGACATTTGCCACTCATGGTGACAATGAGTCTTGAGTTCTGTTTCATTATCATACATACATTTTCATTTTCAAAGAAGAACTTTTCATTTCCACCTGTTCCTTGCCAAGGGACCTAAAAAATGAGAACAGGATACAAAGAAAAATAATTCAAATACACTGCAAGGCCAGTTTGTTCAAAATGCTAACAATTAGGCTTTGCATAAATTTTTGGCAGATTTGCAGACACTTACAGCTACATGTTGTTGCCTTCCTTTAGTTTTCCATAACAGTGAAATAAAAAACTCCATGAAATTAGCCCTAATGTATGCTCTCATACCGGCAAAACAGGCCAAGTTGAAATTGCAATCCTGGATTAGTGATAACCCTTCTTTTTTAACCCGTTACACCCTAACATCAGTATGCATATTCTCCTTTTTGTTCTCTATACATTTCCTATGGTTCTTACAAGGAGAATTTGTCTAATAATCAAGAGCTTCTCGAGTTTCCAATCATTTCCTTTATAGTTATAATTATAGTTGAAGTTATTACATAAATAAATGTCTACATTCTTGCCATTGGATCTTATTGAAAGTGACATGTGAAGGTGAAATGTCTTATCAGTATCATTAGTATACCTTATATATTGATGTTTTTCCTTTATAATTATTGTGCGAAATGACCACTAAGAATTATGCAAATGGTCCAAAACTTGTGCTAAAAGACTTGTGTGAAAAGTCTTTTGTGCAAAATGTCCTGTATTCCAGGGTTGATATCGTAAGAAAAAAAATGAATGCTTATCACTGCTAGGGGTAAATAGTTTAACAACTGTCCCCTGAATCACACTGAAATTTGAGACCTTAGAAACTTGTTTGTTTCAAGCTTGGCAGTAGAAAAGATGAATCAAAGAAATAAGAGCTGAATAAAATAATGTTAACACACACCTCACTTAGTTTGTTGTTTTGAAGGTCCCCAACGAGAAGAGTGTCTGTGGTGTAAGCCACGAGGTATCTGTCCTTGCCCATGATGCTCACTTTATCAATCTACAAATGAAGTCAACTCACACATCAGTCTGGTATCACCAAAGTTAGAGATATCTCAGGGAGGAAGAGGTCCAAGCTCTTAAGACAGGAAAAAATTAAGCCTAGAGTTTGACAACCCTTATCAAAATTGTCAGTTTTGGTAATGGGGAGATTGGACTGAAGGGGGGAAATCTGGACAGGCAACATTATGGAATTCATAGAATTGTCCTTGAATACACGTTGTGTTTGTTCATGGAGGTTTTTCCCTATTGTAAGTTCTTCCCCCACCACCTTTGTGGGTTCACCTCCTGAAGAAATACAAGAATGCCCCCCACCTTAGTCAGTTTGCTCCCAATGTTGCAACTTGTTTCCTTATAGCAGAACATATTCCTCTTCTATCTAAACCTCCCTTTACCATGAAAAACTGGTAATACCTATTTATCATACACCACTGACTGTTGATAATTTTTTTTTTGCAAATAGTGTATAGTGTTACTATCTGATCAACGGGTGCAGTACCTCATATCCGTAGTGGGACTTAAGGACGACTCGAGTTCCTGATGACAAATTCTTCACAATGACCTGCAGTAAAGAGAACAATTCAGACATGAACTTCACATGTACAATAGTACCAACTGTGTGCAGAATAATGAGGATAATGATATAAGTGTTTGCCTGTCAATCAAATGACAAACTAAACGAGATTCCCTCTTTTCATGATGATTTGTGACTGTTCAGCATATCAACACAATCTGACATGCTCAATCCAAAGGCAGAAAAGAAAGAGGACATATTGTGACCATTCCTCTTCAGTTGCAGACTTCAAACATAAATGAAGATATATTTGAGTGAGCTCCCAAAAAAGAATCGCAAAGAAAATATTCTTAAATAATTACCTGACTGAGACCAACATAGGTCATCTCAAACTTGTTCTTGTAAACTGATCTTCTCAAGCAACAGTCAAAGAGTTCCACACCTCCACACAAAGTACCCTATAAACAAAACATGTTATCAAACATAATACTTTGAATGTAAATACAGCAATATACTTGACAGCCTTAATTATATTGAGCACAAAGACTGAAAATTTAGGAATATTTCCTGTCTATATTATTGTTTCTAGGAACTTGGAGATTCAGAGATCTTCAGAAATATCTGCTGATTGTACTTTTCTAGCAATGCGCATACATGTTCAAAACAAATTAACAACATGCTCATGGCTTGGAGCTCTGTCATTCACACATTACAATAATTTCTCTGGCAAAATAATTGAAGAAAACTTTGTATTCTAGCAGTTGCCAAATACAGGTTTAAGAGTGCACTGAATAGAGATACCATGAAATTGAACCAATATCAGAGCAATTAAGACTGGTCTTGGGACAACTAAAGAAATCATGCTTAAGAGCAAACCACTTACAGCCACAAGTCTTGATCCATCCCTTTTCCAAGCCATTGAAGTGATTGTGTAGAGATAAGGAATGTCCTTAGGCTTTGATTCATCCCATGAACCTTTCCTTGGACTCCAGTTAAACACTCTCAGCCTAAAGAGAAAACAACAATACAACTCATGAATTATTCCCCTTTTTTCTCTCAAAACAGCATTGATGAAAGATGAAGTAGCTGAGTGGTTAGTGTTTCAGCTGCATTTCATCAGGCCTCCCTGACACTTAGCCTATACACATTTACACTCCTGGGTGGAGAGGGACAGTACCCATTTACACTCCTGGGTGGAAAGGGACAGTACCCATTTACACTCCTGGGTGGAGAGGGACAGTATCCATTTACACTCCTGGGTGGAGATGGACAGTACCCATTTACACTCCTGGGTGGAGAGGGACAGTACCCATTTACACTCCTATGAGAGTAAACCATTTTGCTTAAGAACACAACACAATGACCCCACCCAGGCCCAGGGCTCAGTTTTTCAAAGGCCAAGAAGCACTAAATCAAGGTTAAATTTTAATGAAGGTATTTTTTATTCCTTTAATCAAAAGCTGTTTTGGGATAATTTTTTCTACTCTTTTTAGTAGATCCAATCATCAAACCATAGATCAAGAGAGTTGTACTGAATTTTCTTTTAAAAACTTTCAGATCTGATTCCAGATTTCACACTAACCAAGGGTTATCTTAACCCAGCTTTGAACAACCCAGCCCCGGAGTCCAGTGAAATTATTATTAGGTCACTACATCTCTCGCTCTCTGGAAGAATTACCTGTCATAGCTTCCAACCACTACTGACTGTCCACTGGGGCTGCAAATTGCTACAGTAAACTCTTTTTCATCATCATCTCTGGTGTAATCAAAGTTTTGAAGAACCCTTCCTAAGAGTAGATAGAGAATGGATAATTTTGTGAAGAACAATTACATGTTTCTTTTTAAACAAAAATTATAGTAAAGCTTTCATGAAAAAAGGGGTCAGCAAGTAAAACTGAAATTTTCTGAAGGAAGAAAAGCTGGTTTTAAACCAACTACTGTTGTCTCAGTGGTTGGGGAATGACACAATAAAATAAAATGTAAGAGAAAAATTCCTTGCTATGGATCACATACATAGTTCAATTCTACTCAAACTTTTTACCTTCTTTTCCATATGCGACAATTCTTTTGTCACAACCAGCAGCAACAATGGATGAGCCCCAACACAGGGCATATGGGGAACAAGAATGCTTACACAACTGACCCTACAAAAATCAAACAAAGGGTGAATGAAGGAAACAGGGCTGGTTACTCAATTGACTTCTATCTTACACAGTTCTCTAATAGACAATCAATGGATCTGAATATTTCTGCATAAAAAATATTTAGCTGAGATCATTGGTTGGTAGCAATTGCTGAAAGAAGCCTAAAAAAATCAGCTTTGGCAAGTGGGTTGTTTGAAAAAATCAATGCTGCTTTCATTGTAGGACTATTTGACACTGTTTACTAAAAATTAATGTTTAGATTAAACATTTGGCAAAGTTAAAGATGGTGTAGAAAGTAGTTTTGTGAAACAAAAGCTGAAGAAAATTTAATTGAACAGCCAGTCCTTTGTTTCTCAAAACCTTATGGCAGGGATCGCCAGTAAAAGATTACAGATATTTGACTTAAAAATACCACTCATTACAAAGTATCTGAGACGATGACCACACTCTACAGAACTCACCTGTGATAAGCCTGTTCCTTCATCATCGAAAAAGTACCTTACAATAGCACCATCCATGTGACCAGAGAGAATTCCTTTTCCTGAGACACTGTAAGGTAAAATAATAAAAATAATAAAAACAGATGCTGTAGTAAACTACTAACAGTGCTGGAAAATTAACTTCTATATCACTCATCATTCTGAAGAGTAAATCTCAGGTTACACTCACCAATTCTTATTCTTTATTTGCTTAAAATAATCATCTATTTCTAAACATAGGATAGACTATATTTTTTTTTTTTAACAATTTCACTATGTAATCATTAAAATTTTTTACTTAGTACATACACTGAGATCACCAAACTTACTTTGCAGTCAGAGACACAACATAATTGTCAGTTCCATAGAGTGTGGTTGATTTGTTTGTTTTGAGGTTAGCAATACGGACCTGTGAAGTTTAAGAAGGAAAACATTGTGTACCATTTTTTGACTGAATCATTACATGTTATGACAAATACAAACATTATTTTCTTGTTATTCGGGCAAGCTCAAGTTTGTCAATGCATAGTTACATACCAAACATTACAATGCAGATACTATAATTATTAAACAAGTAGCTTAATAAGTGTCTACCAATTTATCTTGTTTATTA